ACAGATGGCTATAGCCATCCTTATATAGCCAGTTCTTTCTCTCCAGCAATGTATTTTTTGCTTGAGGGCTAAGGGAAAAGGAGATTCATTTAGATTAAAAAGGGCAGCACATGCCTGTTTGCTTTTTGTATTTTATAGTGGAATATTAGTTGAAGTCAGACTTGGCTGCCATTATCTAACAAGGCGTGCATCATTAGACAGTAGTGGAATTCTTCACATAATGAACCACAATTTTTAAGCGTTTCCTTTTTATTTCCCTCGTTGGTTTGCTCCAACAAGACAATCTGAATCCAAATACACAAAACTAATAGTTACCAGGGCCAACCATGTTTGATCTTTATCAGTCAAATGACATCAAGTTTTCAGGGCATACACTGGAAAAGAGTCACTAAGTATTTATTCCAATCAGTCCAAGAATGCAATTGAGGAAAATGGACATAAACACTTAGAAAAAATACAACTCAAGAAGCTTGAGCTCATAGAAGAGTTGGTACAGATCCTTCACATTTGGTTTACAGCATGGGGAGTGCTTGGATTTGAAGCACTAGTAACTGTCAATGTCTGTTTCTGGCCTTTTAAGGTAGTAACGCAGGCAGTTCACAAGCACCTGCATGTCAGACCAAACAAAAAGTGTTTTGAGAAGAATGAGAGAACTAGAAGGAAAAGAACCGGAAACATATAACTAATTAACATGCATGCAAGATCATGAGCCAAAATTAGTTCCAGAGTTCATACAACCATGTCAAGAAATTGTTGGTGATTAACAATTATGATAGGTAAAAAGAACATTTCATTATCGTCCTTAAAACTTTTTAATGACTTTAGCAATACCTCTGACAAAGATCTATTTAATGCTTGCCCCCTGTAGCTAACATGGAACTTGTCTTTGGCTACCAATCCCTGTGAATGACAGGAAAAAGACTTGATGAGTAACAAGTAATGAGGGAGGGAGAGAGAGAGAGAGAGAGAGAGAGAGAGAGATACTTCTGTTTCAATCTCTGCAGATTCCACGTCAATATTGATATCAGCAATGATTTTGATGATCTCAACTAACAATCCAGGTCGATCTGCTGTCTCTACATAAAGCAGGCTGGTAACAGACAGAGCAAATACAAAAGTAGGTGATTGATGTGTTTTGGCAAGTTCATACGAGATCCATCAACGCATGCTTCCCTGGAGTTAGTATGAGAAAGAAACTAGGGCAAAATATAAGAAAAAATAAAGGGGGAGCACACAAATGGTTCAGGAATTATATGCTCAATCCATCTCAAGCATAATATTTGAAGTTTCAAACCTCTTCTTGGGCCCATCTTCCTTGACATGTACATGAGTTGCAATATCAATATCAACCTGCCATCAAGAAATCACAAGCTAAGACCTAATGTTGATTTTTGCTGATAAAAAAGAACAAAGAAAAAGTAAAAAAAAAAAAAACTTAATGTTGATTTGTGTGATCCACATTGCACATGCAAAGCTAGATAAACCTTGATGAACACAAGGCCAGAGAATAGGGATAAAAAAGAGAGCCAAATTAAGATGAAGAAAAGAATTTTAATGCAAGAAGAGTCTTTAAAAAACATTACCTTCTTCTCTGGAGCTTTTATCCCAAAAGCCTCACCCATTGCAAGTTGCTCACTAGATTCCTAGCAAGCAGAAAGAAACCAAGATGCTTAAGAAAAAAGGAAGCATTTCATAAAGAATACAGAAGTGCGAACAAAATTTAACAATATTACATCAACCACTGGATTCCCAGCAAGCAGAAAGAAACCAAGATGCTTAAGAAAAAAGGAAGCATTTCATAAAGAATTCAGAAGTGACTACAAAATTTAACATCATTACATCCAACCCCATTCCACCCACAGAACATGCAGAAAGGGAATGAGTTAAGACACATACTGGGTGGTACTTCAAGAGATTATTAATGATGGTAAGTCGAATCCTCTCCAACATATCTGGATCTTCAACTTTGCGTCCAGTGTCCCTAAAATAACCAGAATAAATATGTAAATGCTAAAATTTATAGTAAATACAAGACTTGTGATAACATTAAATAAAAGCTAAAAGGAGAAAGGATGACAGGTGAAATCCTGCCACTTCCTCAACTATAAGTTAGATCCTCTTTTAGACCATAGAGCATAATTCTGAAATGCAAAACCATGCATGTTGACAAACAGTAGCCAAATTGATTGCATGACTACAAGCAAGAAAATTCTAATTCTCAATATTGAAGACAATGCAGAGACAACCGTGAAGGGTCATAAGTTGGTCAAGCTGGAGATAATAATAAACATTCAGAAAATCTTTTAAAACAAAAGAATGATACTTATCAGAGCTAAAATCATTACTCACAAGCACGTAATGAAGAATTTAGTTTGCTTGACAGATCCTTCAGTTGAAACACTTCCCTTAGCCACATCCAATCCCAATTCTTTCAATGCTTTCATCTGCCCATTCACCACAAAGAAGAGCAAGTCAACAGAAATTCATACAAAGAAGGAGCCCTTTTCTTCCTTTTTCCACTTGAAAGAATATCTAAGACTCAAAACCTCCAGAACTTATTTGGATTTCCTTTTTTCAGAAACCAAGGCCACTAACCAATACAAGGGAGTAAAGCAGTTAATCTAGTCATCCATATTATAAATTTATACTTCTCCAGAATGACCTAGAAATTGATTAGTTTACAGCAATTCAACAAACCTCTACATTCCAATCAATGGCACCCTAACCAGAGAGGTACTTTCACATAGAGAAAACAACTCAACCTCTTTACCCATCCCCTTATCTTGCATTTAACTATCTCAAATTTCCAGGCATAATCTTATCTCAGTAGCAACATCAACATTTAGATGAAAGAAAATATTTAATGGTCACCTCACCGTGTCAATTAGAGCACCCAGACGGTCTCCAAAGCTGAGTTGCACAATTGTGGCATCAGAATCTGAGTCTTGATCAATCAAAACAATTGGCAATGGAACATAATTATCATCTTGTTCAGATTTCTGTGATCAAATTCATCTAAATTAGTTGCAAAAAATATAAACCAGCATCAGACCCCTGTAACACCAAGGAGTCAAGATTCCTAAAAAATAACTTGACATAATGAGCCACGCCAAACAGTTATGCACGGAATTCGGAAACAAAATTCAGCAATAAAATATCAAGCAATAATAAAGACTCCTAAAAATATTGATAACCGAACGCTATCCAGAGCTATATACATTTCTGGAGATCATATGTATTTTCTTCTGTTATTAACCATAAACATCAGAAATTGTTTCTATCTGACTCACCAATGGTGTTGAACTCGCTGCATTGGAAGCATTAATAGAAACATACAGCAGGCTCCTGCACAAAACTTCAAAAATTGAGAAAATCGAAACATAAAAGATCTGAAGAAAGATGTATTTTCTTTAGTTCCACTCCCTTCTTGAGAACACTAGCTTCATTCAGTCATACCATACTCGGTTAGCTTCAAAATTAGAATCCATACTCCCGCACTCAATACAATAATCATTAGCAAGAACCACACAATAGATTATAGCAAGAAAATACAGTAAAAAAAAAAAATTATATTCGTCATCTTTCTGGCAAGCCAAACAAGAGGAGAAAGAAAAATTGTGAGATCTTCTTACTTTCTTGTGGAGGAAGCGATTCTAAGTCCATACTCAGGGAACTTGTAGCGTGTTGGAGCGAAAGTTAGCGAGGAGTCAAAATGAAACGAGTGAGCGACGAAGCCGGAATCGATGGAATGGAGAACTCTCGATCGCCGGAAAGCTACCGAAGGAGAGGAAGAAAAAGAGAAGATGGAATTCGAGAGCGCCATTGAAATCGGAGCAATCGGTGTCGGAGACGAAGAAGAAATCTGTTTGATTGCTTTGCCTTTCAAAGCTCCGCTGACTTTGCTGATGACTGTCACAGCGACGAGAGATTTTTTTAATATTATATTTGCGTAATATTTCGGGGGTGGTGGGGCCCGCTCAAGGTTTTGGAGGCCACGTCATATGGTGAATTGCACGCGCCGCCGCTGACAGTCTTGCAGAACTTATGTTCCTTCCTATTTCGATCCAGCCTTTTCGGCCCAAAAGAGAAAAAACTCTAACAGGCTTTGGGCCTTGGGCCTTTAGACTCAAGATTAATTTATATTTATTTACATCTAGCCCCTTAACTTATTCACATTTTGCAATCGAGGCTCTACAGTTATATTTGAGTCAATTGCACCCTTTTAGTTTCTTAAATGAATAAATTCTTTGAAATCTAATTACTAGTAACCGAGCAAACCATCAACAAATAAAAACTCAAACTTCAAATTCAATTTCCAGTTTAATACAAGTCATATCAAAATAAAATTTGTTGTCAATCAACTTCTTCATTCTCTGTTCAGTGTGTGCTTGGAGGCAAAGAAAGTGAAAAATGCCTCCTTTATAGGCTACTGTTCCCCTCTCCAAATAGGAGTGCCCTTAGGATGGCTTCACTCATCCCATCAGCATAGGGAAATATATGCCCAGATCCAGGTAACTCATGGTACTGAATCCATCCAAGTTTTTTGGCAATGTAGCTTTGTAGCCTAACTGGCACAAGCCTATCATCATCACCCTGCCATAGATGAACAGAGCCTTCTTTATCCGGGAAAGGATTGTCCAAGTCCATTGGATCGAATTCCCATTTCCCAAATCCAATCATCATGTCCCGGTGCAAAGACTCGTACACTCCTTGCTGAGTTACACGGGGCTGCATTTATTCATTGAACAAGAACAATGGGAGAAGTAAGCAAAAGGAAGAAGAGAATGGCTCAGCAAAGACAATAGACACACACAGACACATATGAAAGACTACATTTGACAGTGTAGAATTTTAGATTTAAGACAGTGTCCAACTTGTATGTACTAGGCTGTACTAAGCTGTAGTGCAGACTCCTAGCAGGTCTGTGTCCTCAACAGGAAGAGAAAGTTGGTATTAAGTTTTTACCTTGTGCTGTTGTCTACCAGAAATTTTGGGAAGCAGCTGTATATCTTGTTTGGAGAAAATACCAGGCCTTAGTGCCACAACGCTGGATGCTGGAAACAGTTTCTGAGTGTTCCACCAGTAGGTCAGCCAGGGGATATGACGAGCAACCCGTAGGGTCCATTGGTCTGCAAGTGACTGCTTGCGGTATGCTTCTGTAGACAAGTTGGCTGGAAAGCCAGGCCACCAGTAGTTCACCACTGGAGCCAACAGTGTTGCTCCGGCTAGCCTGAAAACATTCCAGAAAAGTTGAATTTTAATACATAACAAACTCAAAGAAACAAGACTTTAATTATTATTTTATCAGCTATATCCATATGCTAGAATGAACCTGTGAGGGATGTACTTAAGACAGCTCCAGACAGTATGCCCTCCCATTGACAATCCAATTATGTAAAATTTGGAACCGAGACCTAACTGATCTGCAAGCTCTTCTACATCCAGAGCCATACTCTTCAATGTTCGTTTTGGGTTAGGATCGCTTTCTCCATAACCCGGTCTATCAAATGACACAACATACACCCCTAGTTCCTCAATAACTTCCTGAAACAATGCATATTGACATAACTATGTTAATGTACTGTTTCTTCAATTATTAAATTTGAGTAATAATTACATAACAAAATTAAGGGAAAAGAATTTCTAGTACCGGGGAGAGGTTTGTGGCGATTGCTTCATCATATCTGCCAGAGGCAAAGCCATGGACGAAAATGATCTTGTATCTGGCTGTATCTTTTGATACACCATGTTCCTTGTAGGCCAAATATCTTCCATCCCTTAGCTTTACTCTAGGTGCTGTAATGGGAGGGCCACCTGGAGATCCACAAATCTGAGGAGGAGGAGGCTGGATGGCCTGATATGTCCATGCCAACAATCCAATCAACAAGACCACTGTAATTTCCTTGAGCATTCCCGGAAAAAGTGTGGAAATTGAACCGTTTCAGATGCTGTGATAGAGTAGAAATGTTTGCAGTTCTCAGAAACTGAGAAGGGTTTTGTTTGCTTCTTCCTAGTAAATATTACACAAAGTGAGAAACTCAAATACCAAACAAGGATTCATAAAAACCAACTCACTCAGAAAAATCATCTTCCCAAAATAACAGGGCATTGAAATTGAAATACCAAAATTCACATTGTATACGGTTCCATCATGCAAAAACAGCAATAATTTATTATCAATTCCATTGAACCTGCTACCATGAGTTTAAGATATAATCAAAGATGAAGATTTGGAAAGGAATGAGAACTGAAAAGGAATCATTTCTACAGTCAGAACCAATCTTCTATTGCCATTTCATTAGACAAAATGAACTGTAGTATATAGAAAACCTATTATTCAGACTTCCCAGATGATGGGGAATGATTTTCTCAGTAACCCACTAAGAATTCTGCTTTTGTGTGTGTTTGGAGAAGGGAGAGAGAGAACCTGAACAGATTTGGAGCCGGAAAGTTTTGGTGAAGGAACAATGTCTTCTGACCGTAATATGTACCCTATTCCGAGTATAAAGTCAAAAAGCAAGCATTGCAATAATCGATGTAACCACCCACCACCTACGGACTAGCGGTCCAAATTGTGAAGGATTACGCTACTCCAATCAAAATTTTCAGGAGGTGGCGAGGTGGGTAAAC